GGAATTCTGGGAGTTGAAGTCCACACATCTTAGAGTTGCTAAGGTTGAGAAACACTGATTTGGAGAGACTGTGTTTGGTCCCCTTGTTCATGTCCAGCACCTCTCTGAAAATCTGCACTGCTTTCATGAAAGAGAAATTGGGTAGGATAACATAAATCAATTATGAATATCAGAGGGTCTAGAACACACGCCAAAGGCTTAAAATACACCCCCTAAATCATTTTCGCCATTTACAGGGTAATAATAGATCAGTTCCGTGCTGCCAAGAAAACAACATGGACGTGTCACCAGGGCACAAGGTAGACTCGAGGGCGAATGTTACCTTTTTTATTTGTGTTTAGGACTTGAAGCGGAGACCACCAGGTAATGTCAGAACTGTAGGCTAGAGTGGGAAGGTTAAAAAAAACCCTTAACAAGATCCTTTCTGTTGCTGCTAAGAAAAAAAAAATGTAGAAGTCTGAATAAAGTCACCAAGATACATGAAAAACATTTTTTTCCCCCCTGTTTGTTATTTGGGGAGCTCTTTATAATCCCTTCTTTTGATTTTACTGCCTGGAGCAGTTTGACATCATGCAGGTCTGGCCCTTCACCTCTTGGTAGTTTACGAAGAAAGATTATGTGGTCATAAAGCTGCTCAGGAGCCTTTGGTGATGTGTCAAAACCCGCCTCAAAATTATAATTGCACACATTGGAGGGAAGCAAGAACAGTGGGGAAGGGACAGTGGGGAGACCTGGGTTCGATCCCCCCTAAGCTGCCTGGGGAACTTTGAGCCAGTCTCCTCTCCCAACCCAGCCTCCCTGGCAGGGCTGTTGTGGGGAAGATGGAACACCATAATCACCGCTTTGAGCTCTAGACCGAAAAGGTGGGATATAAATCTAATCAATACGTACAGCTGACCTTTTGTTACTTTGATTTTCACCCAGTTGCGCAGGGCGGGGAAGAATGATGCAAAGAGGATTGCGCACAGCATAAAAAATGCAGATTCCTAAATTACTTATGCTTAAGTAATGCTTAGCCTGTGACGTCTTTAGTTTCCCATGGATGCTTCAGATATATAGCCTTCTTGAGGTTGCAAGTTCTGTGCTATTTTGCTGGGACCCCACAGTATTCACGAGTCTGAATCCGGGGCTGGCCCATTGGTGCGTCTTCAAAATACCAGAGAAAGCTCGGCGTTGTGTCTTTCTGAAACAAAAGCAATTCAGCAGAGAGTGGAGGACCAAGGGCAGAAAAAGACCTGGGGGGTTCAGCTGTATTTTTCCCGCGCCATGGATCACAAAGGGATCTGCACACAGGATCAAGGCAGTAGGAGATCTAGGCTGGGCGGGCGGGAGACATTCCTAACTGGTGATGAATTGGCGGAAGGTGGGTGGAACAGGCTTAGAAGAAATGGCGGGGCGACAAAGGAAAAAAGAAAGTTAGTATTCATTGAGTTACAGGTAAAAAGATACAGATACAGGTAAAAAGATTAAGACACTTTCCAGCCAACCTTGAGGTATCTTAGAGAGGCTTATGATTTGCTGTGTGCTTTTCACTCCATTAATTTCAGGCGATGATGCTTCCAATGACTACCCTTGCAAAGGGTCTCCCCTTAATTTACATACATTTAATTGGTCTGTACAGTATCTCTCCCCCCCCAATTTTTTTTTGCATTTCCTTGCCTTTCACTCAGACTTCCATTTAGTTTTGCCACTGTGCTTTGCAATCCTTCAGGAAAGCTTTAAAAATTAGTTTTTTTCCAGCAGGCCCTGCGCCGGGACGATTTGCAAACCTGCATGAACATTAGGATTAGTTTTTTGCATTTTTACCCATTTCTCTGTCTCTCCTTCTCTGGTGGCACTTTAGCTCTTTTCCGTATGCCAGCTTGAGTCGTTCAGGATCAGGCAGTCTCATAAACTGAATAAATAATTATAATAATACGCACATTCCATTGATTGAAATAGACTCCAGGCCCCATGACTCCTGCCCGTCTTCTCTAAATGTGCTGGTTGTGCATTGTGGGAATTGTAGCTCCAAGCGAAGTTGGAGGAAACTTCCTGCTGCAATAAATTAGCAGGCTTTAAAGGTGCTACGAGATTCTTGCTGCAACAATATTTGGGAGTAAACTTCACCGAACTGCAAAGTTTATTCTGAGTAAGCACATGTGATTCTTTGTTTTTTGGCCCATGTTTTCCCTTTAAGGCTGTAATGCAACATGCTTGAAAAGAAATTGCAAGAAAAAGGGAACTGGTCCACGGCTGCTTTCTTGGAAAATGAGTTGGGAAATCATGGACTTTTAAGTAAGCATTTCCCAGGGATAACATTACGGCCTTAAAACGGACGGGGTTTTAATTTTGGCTGGCCAAATGGCCGTGCTGCCATGTGCTGCGACCCAACTGAAAATCGCAACTCTGATTTTTCAAGATGCTGTAAGTGAGGGAAGGGAGCTCAATTTGCAGCCTGTCGCTTTAAATTTTTGTATTCATTTAATTCGTGTTTTTTTTTCCTCCTCTCCGTTGGCCTCGTTTTATATGATCTCGCGAGAGTTCTCTTTCCCAATCCTCGCGCCCGGGCGGTTTTTTTTCAATTTGTGGCGCGCGCCTTGAACTCCGCGAGAAGGAACAGGCGAGTTAGGGTATGGGCGAGGGGCGTAGACGAACTTGCTTGGGGAGAGGCGGGAGCTGAAGGCTCTGTGAGGGAAAGCGACTTATGGGCGTCTTGCTGTTCGGAGCGCGCGGCCAATGGGAGGGAAGGAGCGGGAAAGGGGGCGGTGCCAAAGGGAAGAGCGCAAGGGGAGGGGGAAAACAGCTAGGCAGTTCGGTTGAGCGGTCGTGCTGTGGGGTGGTCGACCGGCTCCGAGGGGGGATCTGCAAGCGAGGTGCGAAATGGGAGACCCCCAGCGGGCTGCTCTGGGGCGAGGGACGGGAGGGCTGAACCGGAGAAGGGG